GAGCCTCATGCGAAATTATTCTTACTGAAAACTTTGCTCCTTACAAGATTTTAGGATGTGATGGGAAGGGCAGAGGAAAGTGTCTTAAAAAATAACAATAGTGATGATAATAAATACTTAATAATTTTAAGCTGTGATTTTCTTCTAGAGAGATGAAAATAAGTCATCTGTGCTATTTCCATCCTCCAATTTCTAAATTATTGCCCTATATGTAAAGTTGGCACTATGGCTGCTTTTAAGAGGCAGCATGACAGAATGAATAGAGTCCTAGGTTTGAAGTCAGGAATCCCACCTTGTGGTGCCAGTTAGTGAAATGCTTAGTTTTCTCATCTGCAAAATGAAGATAATCCCTATAGTACCCAGTTCTTGGGATTGTTGTGATACTCAAATTAAATAACATGTGGAATACTTTAAGGTTTAAGGCAAACCCTAAAGCATTATTTAAATGTCATCATTACAATTAGCTTCTTGATTCAGAGATTTTGTCTCCCCCAAACTTATTTTTTCTAGTGCCCAGAACAGTACTTTGCACATAGTAAGTATCTAATGCATATTTGTAAAATTGAATTAAATTTAATCTTTTCAGGTCATTTATAGAACTAGAATATGAAGGGACCTTAGAGGCCATCTAGTTTAACTCCCTCATTTTACAGATGAGGAAAATGAGGCCCAGGGAGATTGAGTTGCTCAGGATCATATGGGTAGTAAATGTCAGAGGTGGAGTTCAAACCCAGATCCTCCACATTTCTGAGCTAGTGCTCTTTCTTGTCTATCTGGAGATGTCTGGAGCATTAGTGTGCTTATTCCTTCTAAACACCAGAAATTCTGTTTGCCATGCGAAGAATTTGTTTGAGAAGTTAAAGTGAATCCATTTTTAAACCTGGTATTTAAGATCGGATGCTTACAATCATTTGGCAGATTTTTAATCAAACCCCATGGCAGATTTATAAACAAACTGGCAGAGTTAGCAGTTTTACCTCCTGTTTCCAATCTATTCACTGTCGTTTCTCCAAAAGAACAGCTTTTCCTGGTGAAAAAGCCCTTATTGGAGAAGATTGATTGTTCAATGGCCTCTTCCTAATCCCTCCCTAAATATTTACAGTGCTGAGGAGACAAGTAGTTTCCCTCCCGTGGTGGGTTTCCACTATCAACTTCTGATCTACAAAGAGAGCTCCTTAATGGTCGGCATTTTCCCTCCCCCATTGTTGTTTTATGGCTCTGTGTTGCATGGTGAACTCTTTTAAGACAGAATTTTACTCTGACCACATTTTCTCCAAGGACAGAGTGAGGTGGTGGGTTGGCTGTTAGCAGATGTGGTTTTCAGCTGCAGCCCATGCAAATGATTGGTAGCACCCTTGGCCTTGCTCTTCTATGTCATATTCTTGAATCTTTTAAACACTCAGGGTCAGATTCAAATTCAACCAGCTCTGGAGGAGGCTTCCCACTTATTGTTATGGATGACACTGTACTATTGTTGTGAATATTCAGTTTGGAGGGTATTGAATAAATGGATATATTCACTCCGGCATAGTCTGAAGTTCAGTGGACTCTGAAGACGTGGCTTTCATCCTAGACTTGATGCTTGCTGGGCAAGTCACTCACTTTTCCTAAGATTCTTCATTTGTAAAATGGGGATTTTGATACTTGCACATCTTGTCTCATAAATCCTTTGTAAACCTCAAACTTGCTGTCACAAGACTGGAACTGCTTATCTCCTAGGGTGATTTTGTGGTAACAAATAGTTAAAAATTAAAGTACTATTTGAATGTTGAGCTTCTATTATTACTATTGAAAATAATACCAAGTCTTATTTGCTGTGATTTTTACATCAACCCTCTAAGGCTGGTGCTGTTAGGATCCCCACTTTACAGATGAGGAAACTGAGACTGAGAGAGGTTAAATGACTTGCTCAGGGTCATACAGCTATTAGGGGTCTAAAGCAGGATTTGAACTTGTACTTTCCAGACTGTAAGCCAAGTGCTTCAGTGTTCAGCTGTAGCCTGTGCAAATGATTGGTAGTACCCTTGGCTTGTTTTCTGTCATATTCTTGAATCTCTTGCAAACTTAAAGTCAGATTCAAATTCAACCAGTTCTGGAGGAGGCTTCCCAGATACTGTCATCTGAATTCTTGAAACAATGCAATTGTTAGAATAAAAATGAAATTCTGTCCTTTGCATTCCAATTAGATTTCCTATAAACAGATTGATTGGATTTTTTTCTGATAGCTGAGTGTTAGTGCAGAGGAAGTAGGGTCCTGGAAGTTCCCCTCATCCTGCATATCATTATCCCATGAATACATCAATATTTTTAACTAATGAGTTAGGATCTTGGTCAATTTTAAAGAGGTGGCATCAAGAGAATTTAAGAATTACTTAAGGGGGGGGGCAGCTAGGTAATACAGTGAATAGAGCTCTGGCCTTGGAGACAGGAGGATCTGAGTTCAAATTCGGCCTCAGACACTTGACACTGACTAGCTGTGTGACCCTGGGCAAGTCACTTAACCCCAATTGCACCAAAAAATCAAAAGAAAAAAAAAGGAAAATGCATCTAAGCTTTCAGTAGGTTTTGATAATGGTGACTTTCTTTTTATTTCTTCATCTTTCTCATGAAGAAATTAAATGGAAATGTCTTTTTTGTGTACAACTGGTTATTTTTTTTATACACATCAGCTAAACCTCTGAGATACTCAGTTTAAAAGCAGAGCTTATTGAGATAGCCATGTTGTCCTTCTCTCTCAAGTCATAATGACCTTTACAAACTTTTCCTGCGAAGAATGTGATAAAAACAGTTTACATTCTGTGTCCTTTAGTTCTGGCATCTCTTCGACTCAAAGGACCTTGTGTCCATAAACTAGACAGACCACAGGATGAAGCAAGGTTTGGAGGAAGGTCTTGTTTAGGCACAGTGAATTTAGACAAGGAGACTAAGCACACCAAAAAGCCAAATGATAAAACTGGACTTGGAATGGTTTTTTTTTTTTTTTTTTGGTGAATAGATCAAAGGCTACTAAGGCTGGAATAAAAGTTAGGCAATGGAATGTCAGAGCTGGTATTTAACTGAGAACGTGGGTCCCAGTCTGGGATCTTGGCCTTCATCTAGTCTAGGGGTTCTTAACCTTTTTTGGTGTCATGGATTCCACTGACAATCTAGTGAACCTATGGCTCCTTCTCAGAAAAATATTTTTAAATGCATAAAATAAAATGTAGAGCACTATAAAGGGCACAAATTATATCAAAATATAGTTAAGAAAATGTATTTTAAAAACCTAGGTTTACTGATGCCAAGTTAAGAACCCCTGATCTAGGTTGTTCTTAGGGGGCCATGCCATCAACTTATTTCCTTTTAGCATATTTTTGTTTGTCTCTCTCAAGAGGACATAATCAGAGCCTCCATTTTTTCTGTTGTGTCATATCATTTTGTTTTTTTATTTCCTGAAGTTCTGTAAGGTTCATTTGGAACTTGGACACTGTATCTGTCCAACACACACTGGAAATAGAAATGTGACCGTGGTAGATGACTTTATTAATTTAAGTAGTGTAGTGATTTGAATGGGATAAAGGCACCTAACTTGGATTCCTCCTTTCTTCCTCAACTTGAACTCACAAATTGTTTTTGAAAATTAGGACTGTAAAATTTCCATTTTTATTCTGCCAAGTTTGCCTCATCCCTACCTTACTAAAACCAAATAACCTTTTTTCTTCAGCATATGTGCTTCCTTCCAGTTCCCTCACCAAAACTGATTAATGGCATTTAGAGCTAAAAAGACCTTAAGGATCATCTAGTTTAATCCTTTCATTTTAGAAATGAACTAACTGAGGCCCTGGAAGGTGAGAGGATTTGCCCAAGGTCACCTAGGTTATAAGTAGCAAATTTAGGATTCAAATATGGGTCTATTTTTTTCTTCCTTGTATTCATATTTCTTTTGTTGTCTCCCTTACTTTTTGAATTTTAATTTTTTTTTCAATTATCCATCGTTTATTTTCTCTCTCTCAGACCTCCCACCCCACTGGGGGGAGGAGGAAAGAAAAGATTTCTGAAAAATTTGCATAGTCAAGCAAAACAAACTCCCATATTGACCATGCCTTTTGAATTCATCACCTCCCTCTCAGAAAGTGGCTAGCATGTTTCATCATCAATCTTTTGGCATCAGAGTTGGCCATTGCATTGATCAGAATTGTTTCAAAGTTTCATAATCCCACTGTGGTTGTTAATGTTCTTTTCTGTTCTGTTACTGTAGAAATTGTTCTATAAATGCAACTCTTCACAGGTTTCCCTGAAAACATATCTTTCATCTCTTCTTATGATACAATAATATTTAATTTATAGCTTGATCCTGATTACTGTGAATAATTAATCCCGTGAATTGGTTTTTTTATTCAAATTTGCACTGCATATTTCTACTAGGCCTGACAAAATGATCATATTTTACCTAATTATAACTTCCAATAGTATGAATTCCTTTATGGGATTCATATGTCATAATTTGTTCAGCCATTCCGCAACTGATGGGCATCCTATTAGTTTTCAGGTCTTTGCCATTACAAAATGCGAATGATATAAAATTTTTTTTTTAACATATAGATCCTTTCTTTGTACTCTCTTTAAAAAAATTCTTTATTGTTTCCCTTTGACTCTAAAACTAGTGTTCTTTACACTACCTTTGATAGTTGTGGCATACACATAACTTACGAAGGTGTGTGGGTGGAATAATATCTTTCCCATCTTTAGGGGTTATTGTGAGAATCGATGAGCTCAAATCATGTAGTACAGGGTAGATGTTTAATAAATGTTTGAATAGATCATAGATCTGAAAGCATTTGGGGAAAAAGCACTAAAAATGAAGTTCTACAGTGAATTTTCATGACTTCCAATAGATGATGTGATGGGGTTTGGGAGCTTCAGTAAATTATTTTACATATGCAAAGTACGTTGAGGAAAAAAAAATCTTTACAGTTGGACAACCAAACGCATGGCTTTTCATGTTGTGTTTCTCCTCCTAGGTTTCTCTGGGAATTGCGTTGGCTGTGGAAAGAAAGGATTCTGTTACTTCACTGAATTTTCCAATCACATCAATCTTAAATTGACCACCCAGCCGAAGAAACAGAAACACTTAAAGTATTATCTGGTTCGGAATGCTCACGGGGCTCTCATGAAAGGCCCTTTAATCTGCTGGAGGGGCTCCGGTTAGTTAGCCCAGTTGGCTTGGCAGGATTTTGCCTTTCACTAACTTTGAGGGGGGTCTGGGTTAATGGCAAAAGGGTCTACTTAAGTAAACAAAGAGCCCCCAGGCCCTGAGGATGGCCTTTTATAGTGGGTTTAAATTTTGAGATACTAGGACAATTTGATGTTAATTGCTTCTTCTGGTTAGAGATGACTACTTTGCAATAGAAGAATTTAACTAGCTTTAAAATTAGATTGGAAGTGATGTTAAGAGACCATCCCACTCAATCCTTTCATTTTATTGATGAGGACTTGCTTAAAAATCACACAGGGAGTAGAAGACCAGGATTTTAACCCAGAGCTTCTGATTTCAAATCCAGATCTCTTTTCACTTTGGGAGGGGAAACAAGCATTTATTAAGTGCTTTGCAAATATTATTTAATTTGATCTGGACAATAATGTTTTTGCCTTTTAAAAAAAAAAAAAATTCTCAGTGCTTGGAACACTTAATAGATACTTGTTGACTGACTTAAGCCAGGAATTGAAGGGTAGTTTCCTATGATCCCCTTTCCCTTTCTTCAAAATATCTAGTTCCCTTAACATTTACCATCCTTCATAGCGACAGTGTGGTTTTTACTTTCATTAGAGAAGTTATAAACGAACTCTTTGGGGTCCAAGGGTGAAGTTTGTTATTAGTTGTGGTTATCAGACAGGGCTTTGTACAAGAGGTGGCATTGGAATTGGTCTGTAAAGAATGGGTAGGAATTTAGTAGGTGAAGAGCTGGGAAAGGAAGATATTCCATTCATAGTGAATTATGTGAGCAAAGACATGGAGGTGAGAAGGTAAAGTGGGGCCAATATTACACTGGCATTTTTCTCTAGTAAGTAACATTAATTGCTTGACCTGATGTGACTGACACCAGACCAGGAAAACTTTCACCTCCACCAGAGGATAATGTAATCATTGCCTTTATACTAACTTTCTTTCAGTAGAGCTACGGAGCAGGCAGATGTTGTCAAGCACTTGTTCTAATTCACTGTTCCAAGCTCCAGAGAGTTCAGCGCCCCCAGCTGCCTTCACAAGCGAGCCGGTTCTAGTAGCAAACCCAAATGTTCTGATGGGTACTCAACTGACAGGTAAATGGTTGTAGAAAATCATTTAGAGATGTTAAATCATTTCCACACACTTATTATTGCTTACAGGATGAACTAACATGTATTTCTTTTCTGTAACAGAATTTCAGTTGAAAAGAAATGGTATCTGATTTATATAGCATAGGATTTTGATGTCTAGATCCATAGCCAGTCATCATTTCAATAATAGAAAGGTAGATGAAAAATTAGAATCTTTTGTTCCTAGAAAGTGGAGGAGGGCAATATGATCTAGGGGTAAAGAATACTGGATTTGGATTCAGAACAGCTGGGTTCAAATTCAGACTCTGCTATTTAATACCCAAATGACCTCAGGTCTTGCTAAGTGACTTGAGGACATCACTTATCCTTTTTGGGGCCTCAGTTTCCTTATCTGTAAAATGAAAGGACGGACTAGCTGGCTTCTGAGGTCTTTTCCAGCTTTCAAGCTATGATCCTACAACTTTTATTTAAATCCCCCCCCCAAGTTACAAAGTCCTTCAAATCAAAATTACTTACTCTATCAGTTTTGTATATTTTCATGAACTTTAGCGAAAGGGTAGGACTGACTGTCCTAGGGAGTATAGTGAATTGAGCATCAAACAGAGAGCTAGCTTGATACCTAGAATTGGAACAACCAATATATTCTGTTGGGGTGGGGTAAGGGAGAAGTCACACAACAGAGTTGTCCAGAATTCTCTCCCTTTTGTAGCCCTGAGCCTGTAGGTTTTTAACCTTTTTTCTGTCATGGACTAAGGCACTTACATGACTTTGGGCAAGTCATCTAACTTTTGTTTGCCCTAGTTTTCTCACCTGTAAAATGGAAAAAAAAAGTAAGAGCATCTACCTCGAAGAGATGTTGTGAGGTTAAAATGAGGTAATAATTTGTAAAACACTTTGCAAACTTTCAAGTGCTATACGAATGCTAGCTATTATTATTACTATTATGATTATCATCCTCTTTGGTAATTTAGTAAAAGTCTACGTACCTCTTCTTGGCATAAAGATTAATGTGTGGAAAAATACATGGTCTCATACAGGAAACAATTATTGTGAAATATGGTTATCAAAATATATTAAAAAACCAAGTTCACAAACCCCAGGTTAATACTTCCTGCCTTAGGACATTCACGTGCTATCTCTTTTGTATTGGGGGTTATAGTAGTCAGAATTATTTTTGACTTATTTGTTTTTTCCTGCCCTGTGTTGTCTATCTCCCTCCTTCCTCATCAGAAGGGCTGAGCCAACCCTTTCCCCCTTATGACCAAGTTGGGGAGAAGGCAGAGATAAATTCAAACACACCAAGAAACAAACAAAAAGTTATTCACCTTCTTCATTAGAGATTTTAAGGATTGTGCTGATAGTATTCATGATTTTTAACCTGTAAGATGGAGTGTTGTCATAAGTAATGTAGTTGGCATGATAGCTTTCAGGGTTATATTCTTAAATGATCTTTAGATCATTCCTTTCTTGTCTGTTTCAAGAAGTTATAATGGGTGTATTCCCAATAAAAGAGCAATATTAATAAGTGGCTGTCAAATATGGGTGTATGATACTTGGTAGGTGACTGACAAACTAAATCATTAATATATATGCCTAGGCTAGTTTTGAAAAGGGCCTTTGGGGGATGCTATATTAGCTACCATTCTCTCATGGGACAGTTGCTATATTTGAAAGCATCTTGGGGTACTTTGTGAGCCCTTACATTTTAGTATGAACATCAGTAGGTACCATGTGGCCTTAGAGCTGAGTTAGGACTATTCCCTTGACCATAGGGTGACTCAGTAGTCCCCAGAGTAAGTCCCTGTTCTCTAGTTAAGCACTTGGAAACTTCTAGTGTCTTGGATAGTTCAATGAGTCTGAGCACACGTAGCCCCTCAATCCTGTCAGGGTGCACTCAGATCCTATGGTCTTTTCAGGGCCAGTGTAGATCAGATAGCTGCAACCATTAACAATCTCTTGCAAGTACTATCCTGGTTCCAATCTGTGTTCTCAATAGGCAGTTCTAGGAAATCAACTTGGAGGTGTGGGGCACAAGCTCTGGGGTATCCCACAGTGGCTTTGTATGACCTTCAGACTTGTAGGTTGACTCATTTGTAGCTCACAAAGCACATGTGGGAATTTGTATGTGTTCTCTCAGAGGAGACGAAACATTACACTTCGTGCACTCTAACCTTGAAGGTGGCTTTAATCGATGAACAACATACAGTAAAATGGGAAAAGTGGTCTTGAATCCAATAATATCATGGTGAGCTTCTCTTTTCTTTGGTTTCAGGCACTGTATCTGATCATCCTCTTCAAACGTCAGCAATGAGTCCAGCTGTTTTCAATGGGAAAGATTCACCCAAGCATCAACAGTTAGTGAAAAACAATTTGTCAGTCCCAACAAGACCCTCGGTATTAGGTAGCTTTGCATTTCTGTGTCTACCCACAAAACAGATCATATTCAGATCCCAGCATATGGGGTTAGATGTATTTATTGCCTCCTGTTCCTTTGGAGCAAAATGCAGCCTTGGGAGCTGATATTGGTGGGACTGAGAACTGTTCCTTTGTTAAAGGATTTTATGTTTTGGATTGCATCAAGTCCACAGGTGTTTACTGAGGGTGATATACTGTGGGGCAAAGGCAGAATGCTTACGGTGGTCAGAGTACTAGATTGGGATCTTGAGTTGGATAAGTCATCTGAGAGCTTTGAGCTCACACACCTCATTTTACAGTTGGGGAAACAGAGGCCCAGGGAGATGAAGTGACCTGCCCCAGGTCATTCAGATAGTAAGCATCAAAGCTGGGATTTAGATCAGGGTCCTCTGGCTCCTGAGCACTGCTCTTTTTACTGTGCCATACCTTAACTGGCCATACAAATTTGGGGAAACCGCTTCCTCAGTCTGTGGCTCAGTTTCCTCTGAGGCAGCATGGCATGGTACTTAGAGGACCCTTCTTCGAGTCAGGAAGACCTGGGCTCAAGTCTTTCCTCTAACACATAGTAGCTATGTGGCTGGGGTCAAATCACTTAACCTTTTACTGACTAGACAACTCTTGAAGAACATAAGTTACAACTGAGCTGAGTTTCCAACCTCCTTCTGTGGAAGGAGCTTCCCTCATTGAAACCACTAGTGAATGATACAAAACAATGTAAATGACGACAGAACCCTTTATTAAATTGGATGAAACAAGCTTTAGGCGGTATAATAAGAGTTAGGAGGAGGGCTAGATGAATGTGAACTGGAGACGGTGGGACTGAAGCTTAGTCCTGAAGAGTGGGTTAGATGTGGAAAGGAGTCAGCTGAGCATCTTATTCAGGGAATCACCATGGGCAAGGGGGAGATCAGTGTGAACAAGGTATGAATGAGGGGACCAGTGTGCCTAGACTAGGAAAGGTGTCTGTTATGGGACAAGTAGGAGATAAAATTGGATAGGGTCCATGTATATCCCCATGACTAAAGTACTTTAAAATTTCTAAATTCTTAGGCCTTTTGTGACTTTTAATGCAACAGTGCCAAAAGGAAATAGTTGGCAAATTTAATTTATTACTCAATCTCAAGGGCAGCTAGGTAGCACAGTGCATAGAGTACTGGGCTTGGAATCAGGAAGACTCATCTTCATGAGTTCGAATCTGGCTTTAGACACTTAATAGCTGTGTGACCCTGGACAAGGCACTTAACCCTGTTTGCCTCAGTTCCTCATCTGTAAAATGAGCTGGAGAAGGAAATGGCAAACTACTCCAGTGCCCTTGACAAGAAAACACCAAACGGGGTAATGAAGAGTCTGACACAACAGAAATGACCCAACTACAACTTAGTCTCAAATCTTAGATGTTTTTCTTTGAAACCTGAAATAAATTTTCTGTTCCTCCCATATAGGATGAATATTGTATTGGTTCAGATATATGCTGTCTTTCCTCACTCCCCCAATATATGCTGCCTCCTAAAATGTGATCTTATTGAAAGGAAAAAAATACAGTTATGGATTAATGCAGTTCCTTAACATCCATTCATCCTCTTCTTCCAGCTGCACCTCACCCTCATCACCTTGGATTTTGCAATCAACTCAGTTTAGGTGATGAATAAAAACCCCACCTCCTGGCTGGGGCCTAGCTTGGATTGAGAGCAAGGTTATCAGGGCACTCTAATCTAATGTAGTCTTTCTTCTGCATCTTAACTCATGAAAAGTTCCATAACTTTATCTTTCTGGAGACCAAGGAGCCATCATGTTCTTGACTAGCTAAAATGTCAGAATGGATCTAATAAAATGAAATTTAAAAGGGATGGGTATAAAGTCTTATACCTGAGTTAAAAAAAAAAACAAACACCTGCATATATGCAAGATGGAGGAGTAGCTGTACTGCTGTAACAGTACATGATTGTGAATGCAGTGTGAATTAATAGTATGACATAGCATCTAGAAAAGCTAATGAGAACCTAGGCTGAATCAGCAGAGTTATAGCATACGTGATTAAGGAAGTGGTGATCTCACTGTATTTCATCCGGACCAATGAGAGCTGTCCCAAAATGAAATGGACTGCCTCAAGGAATAGTGGGTTCCTTGTCACTAGTACTCATTAAGGAAAGGCTGAATGATCACTTGAGTATGTTTATAGAATTTATAGATGGGTTGGACTGGGTGGTGCCTTCCAACATTGAGATTTTGGGATCTGTACTCAAGCTCTAGAACATCAATGAGCTTTTTCTTTTTTTGGGGAGGGTGCTGAGCAGGTTGACACATTTCATCATATTTTTTTCTTTACCCTCTTGGTTTAGCCCTTCACTTAGATATAATGCTAAGCCACAAGCCATACTGGTGATGAGCTTAATAGCTAGGCTGGTCCTTGACAATTGATATAGTCTATCACTGACAATACATAGCTTATGGAGTTTGTGTAGGACCTACCAGAACTTGTACTCTACTGGCATATGCTACAGTAGTAATAATAATGATAACAACAACAATAATAATAACTAACATTTATATAGTGCCTTGAAGTTTCTAGAGGTCTTTGCATAAACTCTGTGAGGTAGGTGCTATTTTTATCTCCACTTGACAGATGAGGGAAATGAGGTAGAGAGAGGTTTTTTGACTTGTCCTTGCCCTTAATGACACATCTAGTAAGTGTCTGAGGAAAGATTTGAACTGAGCTCTTTCTGATTTCAAGTCCAGCATTCTATCCATTGCTCCATCTAGTTGCCCAGGCTCACTTTCTCACCAAGATTTAGACATCAAAATAGGACTTTAGTGGAAGATATAAGATATATAGTCACATACATCTAGATAGCACAATGGATAGAGTGCTAAGTTTGGAGTTAGGAAGAATTAAGTTCAAATCCTTCCTCAGATGCTTCCTAGCTATATGAGCCTGGGCAGGTCATGAAACCTCTCTTAGCCTCATTTTCCTTAACTGTAAAATGGGGATCATGCTAGCACCTGGGTCATAGGGTTATTTGTGAGGATCAAATAATACACTATATAAATACCACCGATTTTTTTTTTTGTACAAGTACATACTGGCTCACCTGCTCCTGATGCTTTGAATAATTCACTAGTTTCCCTCCTTTACAAATCTCTCATTCAGGCATGGAGGTGATCCTAGCCTGGTGAAGGCTGTACCAGTGGAGTAAAAACTCTGGCATATTATACAAAGTTGCTGAGACCTGGCTACTGATTATTTCTCCGAGGACCAACCTAATTAAATATGGAGAAAATAATCACCAATAGTGTGATTGCTTTATGGTGAATTCTGTGGCAGTGGCAACCCACAGCTTGAGAAATCAACATTAAGTAACCTAAGAGATGGCATTACTTGCAAATGACTCAGTCACCAGGGTACTGACTATTGCCATCCCTCATGAATTTCCTCCTTGAAACATTATTTGATGGAAAGCACACATGGAAAAGTACTGCCACCTTATGGTGAAAACTGGTTGAGTATAAACTTACAAGCTAGCTCCATTTATCTCTAGGAACCTTTAAAGCACCAGTCTCTAGACGCAGATTTATAAAATGGATGGAATAGTTTTTTTAAAATGTGGGAAGAAGGGGATTTAAAAAACATGGCATTTGTTGTAATTTGAAAATGTACCAGATGCTTAAAATTCAAAGTCATTTGTGTGAAGCCAAACATCTCCAGAGCCTTCCATTCAATCAGTCTTGTAATGCCAGCAGTCCCAAATGTTTGATTTCATATTCAAGGCCTGCTAGCAGGAAAACAAAACAAAGCAAAGCAAAACAAACAAACAAACAAAAAAACATGCCAAAGAAAAACAACCCATGGAAATGCTGAAAAGGTTTGATTGAAGCTTGCTTCAAGTACTAATGCTGTTAACTTCAAATGTCTTTTAGGCACTTTAACTAACTCAGGGCCTCCCAAGAAACGTCACAAAGGGTGGTCCCCAGAATCTCCATCAGTTATAGACCCCTGCTACGCACAAACAAGTGCACACAGGATGAAAAATGGTAAGTGACTGGAGGGTGATTTTACAACAGTGGCTTTGGTCTGGATGGGGGGAGGGAAGAAAGGAGGAGGACTCTATGTAGTATTGTAGTAGGTTACCAGTGAATATTGGGGGCTGGTGCACTCCCTAAATGGAATTCTTATCAGCGCTTGTATTGTTCATAAGATTGCTCATGGAAAACAAGCCACTTAATATTAATAATAATTTATATAAAATTGTTTAAACAATTCATAAATTGCTAAATAGTAATTTATCAATCACAACTGCCATATAATAATATGTTACACTGTAACAATAAATTGATTTATGAATTATAATTGTAAAATAATTTGTGAATGATTTATACAGTGTTAAATAATTTATGTAAAAGTATTTGAGCTCCCTGCAGGAAAAAAGGACTACAGAATCAGTTATGTTTTATATAATTACATATTGATTTATTAATTATTATATTATTCCCACATTAATATATAACAGAGAATGGGACACCAGGACAGTGGAAACTGGCGTAGTAAGAGTTGGCCTTGAGGTTAGAAAGACCTGGATTCAAGTCTTCGTCTATCATTTATTCACTTTCTAACTTTGGCAATCTACTTATTATCCAGCAACTCTCTATGACCAAGTTACCTTGTAATTATAAGTGATTATCAGTTACATTGTAAGTTATACAAGTTTCCATCGTGCATTTATTGAGAGAGTTTACACACTGGGGGTTCTCCACATTCATGAAATTGGGGCTGTGGATGGAACACTAGCCCTGGAGTCAGGAGGACCTGAGTTCAAATTTGTCCTCAGATACTTAGCTCTGTAATCCTGGGCAAGTCACTTAACCCTGATTGCCTCCCCCCTACCCAAAAATACATTCGTTGAAATCACAGGTTTTGACCCCATCTCCTCCAAATGGTGATAATTAAGACAGAACATCAGTCTGAGCGTCAGGAGATGAAGGTTTGAGTTCTGACTGTAGCACTGTGCAACCTTGGTAAAATCACTTCAGCTATTTCAGCCTCCATTTTAAAAATCTTTATTTATGGTCCTGTGACCTAGAAAATGAGGGTAGTAATGATTGTCCTTTTAATCTCACAGGATCCTGTTGAGGAAAGCCCTTTTTAAACACTGAAATGTCAAAAAAAAATGTGATTCTTATAAGCCCTTATGCCAAGAGAATAAACAAAAGCTGACTTTTAAAAAAATTAGTGCTTAGATTATGCTATCTATGTCTGACTCATTAAATGAATAAGAGGCCTGTTTCAGATGGCAAAAGGGGTCAAGTTGTTGATAATGTGGGTTGGTGTTCTTTATCTCTTGCAAATGCCCTTTCGAGTGTGTTTGACCCTTTCATTTTGGTGACTGCATTCGTAGACAGTGCAGGAGTGTCCTGTCTGCCCCAGGCGGCTTTGGTGGGACCAGCTGCAATCTCGTCTCCTGTGGTAGCCGCTGGAGAACCCGTTTCTGTTCCTGATAATTTACTGAAAATATGCAAGGCCAAGCCTGTTATATTTAAAGGTAAATACACCAGCTGACTCACAGCTGCTTTGAAGAGAAATGAAAGTGTTCTCACAACTGTTACAGAACAATAGAATGTCAAGAATTGAAAGGAACTTTAGTACATAGTTGACTACAAGCTAGGTATTAATCAACAGTATTGATACAATAGGATTTCAGGATGCATTAATAGCAACAGTAGAAATGTGAAGTCCAAAACAGGGGAGATGATAGCCCTGCTGTACTGTATGCTGGTTAAAACACATGTGAAGCGTTGGATGTTAGGATGTAGGGTGTTGGGGTCCAAGGTTGTCCCTTCCAATATCAATAGGCAAGGTAGATGATTCCCCAGGAAAGAGGGGAGAAGTTGGGGAGGTAGAGGAATATCTCTGCTACTAAATTCTAAACATAGTACCTGGAACATTATATATTTCATAATGGCTTATTAATCATCTTAGCATTACTTATTCCCATCCCCAAAGGATAGAGATCCCCCAGGATCTTTCTTGCCAGTAGGCATGTGGTTCCTTTAGTGCTATGCTCTTGGTAGCCAGAATTAGCTTGGGTGTTTGCTATCAGTTATCCCTGCATTAAGCATTCCTTAGAAAAGCTTATCCACTTTGGGGGTCACATGATGGAGGCAGTTAAATTGTGTGAGCATGGCATTACTGATTTTGATTTGTTAGCAGGGAAATTCCTTCCCAGGGAAACAACTCTCTTTTTTCCTAAACCCAAAAGACATTAATGGAAACTGATTAATTTTAGCCTATGGAGTCTTCTGACCCTGTTTAGCAGTATTTTAAGATCCCTCCAAGATTATACTCATTCTAAGAAGAAGGTAGAAAATAATTGAAATGGAAAAATCATCCTGTTCTTGCCCTAAGGTAGCCTCTCTTTTTTCTGATAATCTATCAGACCTTTGACTTTAGAAATGAAAGGCTAAGGTTCAAAATTAGTTTAGCCCAGGATGAAAAACCAGGATGGAATTCATCAGAGTTGAAGGATGAAATGGAACCCAGGAACAAGAGTGTTAATGTGGATCAGGTAGAGTCAACCTAGCTATTAGTAATCTCTGTGCTTTCAGCTACTTTATTCGGTAGTCCCTCTCTTCCATCCCCAGATCCCCAGACATGGTCTAGGAGAGAGTCCTCTTTGTCTGGGTCAGGTATGTGCAGTTAGTTAAGGGGGAAGAACTTGAATCTCAGGGCACATAATACATTTCTTTCTGATCTGATGAAGATAAATAACAGCCGAGGAGACCCTGATTGATTAATTCCTGTGCTGGAAAAGCTAGGCAATCAGTTTAGAGTAGAGAAGTCTATACTCTTTAGGTGATCTTTGGGCCTGTGAACTGAATAGAGGCTTCTATTTTATTAACTCAGCAAAGATTGTTGTGGTTAAGCACCTACTATGTGCAAGTTGCTTTTCTAGGTGTGATGCAAGATATAAACATGAGTGGGGTAAGCTTTATCTAAACTTTACATCAGCTCCTATGTTAAATGCAGTAGATGCTAAATAAATGTCAAATGAATGGAGAAATGTTCCCTGACCTTTGGAGATTTTTAATCTAGCTTTCAGCAGTAAGACTTATTCACATATATTAAAAGTTAGATACTAAATGCACTAGATGTTGGTTATATTGCAAATGATTGATCCAGACAATTGCTATGTGACCTTAAGCAAGTTGCTTTACCTCTCTGTCTATTTCCTATAAAATAGGGGCATATTGGGGTTAGATATAATTTGTGGGGCCAAGCTATCATGGAAGGCATTTATTAAGTGCCTACTATGTGCCAGGCACTATGTATGCTGAGCACTAGGGAAGAAAAAGGGCAAAAGTCAGCCCCTGTTCTCAAGAAGCTCATAGTTTAATGGGAGAAGACAACATGCAAATGATTATGTCCAAACAAAATATATACAGGATAAATTGGAGATAGTTAATGGAGGGAAGACACTAGTTAATTAACATTGGTTAAGTGCCTACTATGTGCCAGGCACTGTTCTAAGTACTGGCACTAAGCTTTGAGGGGGATCAGGAAAGACTTGTTGTAGATGATAGGATTTCAGGTGGCACTTGAAGGAAACCAAGGTCCCTTCTCCCTTGGATATCCTATGACCCCAAGTCCTGTCGAAGTCTGGAGAAGTGAGAATTGGTTCCTGTGGACTGTTGCGACTTCATGAAGAAAGTGGAATTTGACATGGACTTCCTATGAGTGCTGTCTAGATTCTCAACTCCTAGAAGTCAGGGATAGTTTGTACAAGGGTGTATGTGAAATGAGATTTTGTACAAATTAAGGTAAATGATCTTGCTCCTTTTCTAGGTCATGGCAACTTTCCTTACCTCTGTGGCAACCTTAGTGATGTTATAGTAAGCTCCCTTTTGTACACCTGCTACCAGAATTCTCAGTCCATATCTCGAGCTTATGAACAATATGGTGCCTCCACGATACAGCCCATATCGGAGGAAATGCAGCTTTTACTGACAGTCTATTATCTTGTTCAGCTTGGTGGGTATCATTTTTGGGGGGGGCTTGGGGAGATTGTGGAATATGATATATGTCATTCAATGTAATGAGACTGCTATAAATTAATGATGGTAGTTTGAGAAATATATATATATATATATATTTTTGAGAAACATATCTATATTTAAAGTGTTTTTAAAAGCTTTTAGGACATGAAGTCATTATGCCAATACCTTTTTGTTACAGAATGTGGAAAAAGCTGTTTATAGCAATGAATGAAATCAAATGATACAGAGTTGAGTAAAACTGAGTTTACTTTGCAGTTATTTCAAGTATTTGAATATTATTTTTTCTTCATTTAAAGATGATGTTTGAATTTATTTTCAATTTGATTAAGGATTATTCTATATGTTTGCGCTATGTATTGAAAGCATATTCTTAACAGAGTTGTAGTACATGGCCTTCTCCCAGGCTTTCTGCCCATTTAGCCCCAAGGCCTTGCCTTCTATATTTGGTCAAGTGACGAAGTCACACAACTAATGCTAGGAATGAAAATGGACTAGTCTGAAAGGGTCCCATCTCTGCTGGCCTGGAGGATAGATGATATCTAAGCAGGTTATGCTCTGTGGGAAAAAATTTAGAAATCATTGGGTTGAAAATCTAATCAACTTCTCTATGGGTGGTTTAGGCACACTCATTTAACTTGTGTCCCAAATTTTAGTTATCTATTCATTTCACACTGGACAAGCGTGAGGTGAAGGTATTTTCTTTACTCACATAGCCTGTCTTCCTGGGCTGTTTGAGTGGATTCCAGCTAGAGCCTGAGGGCCTACATGGTGATTTTTTTTTTCACTTACTCCTACATGGCACAGATATTTGTTAAGATCAATATTTAGATTTCTTTTGTAGTTGTAACCTGCTTTAAGTCAACGTGATATAGTAATTACAGCTAGCATTTGTATAGCACTTTAAAGTTTGCACAGTGCTTTACACACTATTAGTCATTTTATTCTCACAACAACCTTGGGAGGTTGGTGCTATTATCCCTATTTTTACAGATAAGGAAACTGAGACAGACAAAGGTTAAGGGACTACCCAGAGTCACAACACTAGTAGGTATCTGAGGAAGGATTTGAACTTGGAGAAGGATGTGGCAAACCTCTCCAGTATTTTTTCCAAGAAAATCCCAAATGGGGTCATGAAGAATAGGATTACTACTGAAAAATGACTGAAATTCCCGACTCCAGGTACAGGACTCTATCCACTGTGCCACCCAGCTGATCTTTATAGGGAAACTTCTATTTATAAAACAGTATATAAAACATGGAAAGAGCACTGGATTTGGATTCAGATTCAGAAGGCCTGGATTTAACAACCGGCTTTGTAGCTAATTGCCAAGGTGGTTACTAATCACATAAATGGTTACCAAGCCACTTAACCTCTCTGGGACTCAGTTTCCTCATCTGTAAAATGAGTCTGGGCTAGATGACTTCTTAGATCCCTTTCTGCTCCAAGACTATGATCCTTTGATGCTAAAACAAATAAGTTGAAGACTTAGTATTTGCTTTATAAAATGAGTCTTTGGTTCCTAGAAATATGTGTGCATTTTGTAAACTTTCAAGTGCCTATATAAACTGTAAATGTGAATTGTTGTCATTTATAAATCTATCTGTTTCACAAAAAATCATTTTGTGGGCATTTTTCCCCAAAACAAAACTCATTGTTTAAAACAAGGTACACACCTTTATTTTGATAGTTTTAGTCTTCAGTGGATCAATCATGTCAGGAAAGCAGATAGCCATTTTTTTCCCTTCAAAATAAAATAACTTTAATTAAAAGTCAGACTTAAAAAAATCAAACTTTGTCTTTGTTAGCTTCAGACCAGGTTCCTCTGATTGAAGATCTGGAGCAGATATTTATGCGTTCCTGGAGAGAATCCCATTTGACAGAGATCCGCCAGTATCAACAAGCTACACAACAGCCCTTCCCACAAATTCCTAGTCACATTGCCCCTGTAACATCAGCCCAGCTCCCCTGGCTGGCTGGCTTGGCAGCCAGTTCTTGCAATGACAGTGTTCATATCATTGAATGTAGTTACTCTTTGGCTGAGGGACTTTCAGAGATGTTCAAGCTACTCATTGAAGGGAAGCTTGTGAAAACTAACTACGTTGTTATTATATGTGCGTGTAGGAATACACCAATTGACTCCTGCATTGCAGTTACAGGTGAGTCTCATTTTTTCTTTCCTCTTTTTCTCCTCTGCCGGCTGTTCCCTAGAATGCTTTCCCGTCTCCTTTTTGCCTGTTGAAGTCTTACCAATATTTTAAAGTCCAACATAAACACCCCATCCACCAGAAAGAAAGGCTTTTCTAGTGATGCAATATTGAGTGTTTTCATTTTATTACCTTAATAGAATATAGACATCATAAAGTCAGGAACTGCTACAAACATTTTAGAACACATAGGTTTAGAGCAGTCCCTGACTTTACGATGTCTGCATTCTATTAAGACAGGCTTGCACAACATACAGTCTGTGGGCCAAAGGATTTTGGGTGGCCCTCGAAAAATGTAGGGTTGCCACTGCTCACTCTCCTGATTTTCATCAGATCTGTGGCACCCAACCATTGTCACTCTGTCTCTAGTCTAACCTATCTGTGGTCTGAAGAAGTTTAGCCTGTTTTAATTTTGTAGGAATGCAGAATTCTCTAATCACCTTTTTAATGGTAAAACACTTGTGAGATGAAGAGAGATATCATATTAGTAAGATGTTTTTAACATTTTTTGAGTTGACAGATTTACAGGGGTAAAAATAAGTCATAGGCTTTAGAGATGCAAGGGAAATTAGAGCTTCATTTTATTGATGATAAAATGATATGATAGGACTCATTTAGTTAGGTGAAATGTCTTCTCTCTTGTTTGCCTGTTGAATCTCTACCTAAACTTTAATGACCAACTCTAATGCTAGCTGGTCTCCATTAGTTGGTGACAAGGAGTTAAGTGACTTGCCCAAATAAAGAACAGAACTAGGATGTCCTTAAACTTCAAACATGGGACTTTTTCCACTAAATCAGACTTTCTGCTACTTACCGTACTACCAATTTATAGGATGGAAATTTGTTCGGCATTTTAAAAATGCTTTATAGTTTTGCACACTATGAAAATGAGCATTATTATCATTCAATTTTGATATGCAAGGCTCAAAGAAACAGATCATTGCAAGAGAAGACTGAATCCATCAGACATCAAATATGTACATATGTGTGCATGTGTATATACACACACACACACACAGATATACATGCATATATAGATATGTGATTTGTGCTTGACAAACACTGAGAACATAAAAATTGGGGAGAGGATTGGTTAATACTTAATAAATATACTTGGTAAAATTGGTTGTCAATTGGTAAGAAAGAAATTTGGATTCACATCTTTTGCTATATACCCTGTGAATTCTAGCTGAATGAGAGACTTAAACATGAGAGAAACAAACTCAAGAAAAGCTATCATTGTGGATGAGAGATGATTTTTATTTTAACACAAAAATGGAAGAAGATGTTAGGAACAAGATAGATATGTTGGGCTATATTAAAATTTAAAATTAAAAAAACTAATGTAAAACAAAAAAAACCCTTTTATCATAATTTTTAAAAAAAGGAAACAAGTTGGGCAAGTATTAACAGCAAGTTAATAGGCAGATTAAAAACTATTTAAAATATTCAAAGAATTGTTAAAAAGTCAGAGCAGCAACTTCCATTCCACAAAGTATGGCCAAAAAAAAAGAAGTGGAGCTAAGAATTCCAAGAGGTAGAAGTGAGAGCAGCATGCTAGGCATGGCGAAAAAATCTCTGCCAAGGTGGGAAAGTGGGAGATGGAAAGTCATGTATGGAAACAGCAAATTGGATGATTTATTAGAATTTCGAGTACATGAGTGCAAAGTAATTTGAAATCAATCCAATGGAGCAATATGGTGAAAGACCTGAAACGCTAAACAAGGGGCTTCTTACCAGTGTGTCCTAAAGTGTTAGTGAAGTTTTAAGCCATTAAAGTTTAAAGCTTAAAAGTGAGCTAAGACCTTTTGGGACACTCAGAATTGTTCTAGAGGCAGTAGGGAGCCACTGAAGCTTTAGGAATAGGGGAAGGACATGATTAGACTGGTGTTTTAGAAATATCAATTTGGTAGCACGGTAGAGAGAGGAGGACTCTCCTTGAGTTATCTAAAGAGAGAGAGGGGAGAGAATAGAGGCAGGGAAACCATTATAGTAGTCCAGGTAAGAGATGATCGTGGCCTCCAGTAGGGCTGTGTGTGTGCCTGGAGGGATGTTCCAAAGGTAAACTCATCCAGACCATACAACAGATAAAATATATAGGATGAGGTAGACTGAGGATTTGAGGCTTACTCTGAGGTTGTAAACTAGTGATGTCCTCAATAGAAATAGGAACCTTAGGAAGAGGACTCTCCATATCTCTGGACCCCATTTTCCCCATAAAAAAACTAGAATCACTTCACAACTCTTTCAAGGGAAGGGGAAGGGGAAGGGGAAGGAAGGAGAGAGGAATAGAATTTGGAAGGTAAAAGTTTAAAACATGTTTAAAAATTGTTTTAACATGTAACTGGGAAAAATAAAATATTATAAAAATTAGGATCGATAAATATCCTTTTCATGGCATTTTGTATTTGTGTTGGGGCTGGGGTAGGTATTAGAATTAGAATTTGGAAAGTAAAACTTTAAAAAATGTTTTAAAATTGTTTTAACATGTAACTGGGGAAAAATAAAATATTATAAAAATTAAGATTGATAAATATCCTTTTCATGGCATTTTGTATTTGTGTTGGAGGTGGGGTAGGCATTTTCTAATAATTGCTTTGAAACCATGGGTTTCCAAGCAAGACAGAAGAGAAATTCTTGGTTTCTTTTGAAAAATTCTTTATTAGATTTTACTGGGCCAATATAGTTAAATCATTTCGAGGATGGAGGTGATGTAAGAGAGTGAGAGTTAGTTATGTGTGCAGGGATCTGGGGAAGTATATAGAGCCATAAAATATTGGAGTTAGAAGAAATCTCTGAAAAGAAAACATCAGAGCTGGAAAAAACATTAGAGCACAAAATTGTCAGAGCTGTGACAGGGCTTCTTAATCTTTCCTGTATCATGGACTCCTTTGGCAGTTTGATGAAGCCTATGAACCTCTTCTCAGAATAGTTTTTAAATGCATAAAATAAAATATAATATGCAGGACTGTGATGGAAACCAGTTATAGTGAAATATAGTTATCAGCATATTTAAAAAATAAGTTCCTGAACACCAGGTTAAGGATTCCTATTTTAGGTTACCTAATCCAAAGTTAAAAAATTTTTTTTAAACAGATCAGTAATTCAAGATTCTTCACTAGACAGGTGAAAAAAACTTATCAAGGGTCATGTGAATTTTGCCACCTTGATCATATTCATTTTAGGCTTATGCAAATTGTGTTCCAAATGATAATAATGATAGCTAACATTTATATAGAGCTTACCATGTGCCTGGCACTTTGGAAAGGTACAATAACTTGCTCTATTTTCTAGGAAAATATCAGGCTCGGATTCTCTCTGAAAGCCTCCTCAGCCCAGCAGAGTATCAGAAAGAAGTAAATTATGAGCTTGTGACTGGAAAAGTGGAATCTTTAGGTGCCTTTTTTAGCACGCTTTGTCCAGGTAAGAGGTCCAGCAAATTATTTTCAACTTCCCAAATCTGTGTAATGGGAAGGAACCAAAAAAGAAAAGCCAGAAATATATATTTGACTCTTCCTAGATATTTTACAGAGAAAAACATTATGGCATAGAAATATGTTACCTACTAAAGCTTTGTTTAATGTCAGGGGCATTGTATAATGGCTCAAACGTTTCATTTTGTATTGATCTGAGTTCCTTCCTTTGCATGATAAAAGTAGTTCTGGGTGGTAGGCTGTTTTGACTCTGAATATAGAACTCTTCGAGCTTTATTGTGCCTACTCACCAAAGATTTTTAATATGCTTCTATTTCTCTTCTCTGTATTTGGTAGAGGGTGACATTGATATTTTGCTGGACAAGTTTTATCAGGAAAACCAAAGCCACATTTCTTCCTCACTCAACACATCAGCAAATAAACCAGCAGCGGTGGATGCCAGTGGGACACCTTTGTGTACAAGTAAGTAACAAGAGGGTAGGCAGCTGGGATGATTTGGAATTTGAAGGTAGCTCTAGTTTTGTCTACTATTTGTTAAGACTTCAACTGTTTGAGCTTTTCATTATTTTCACTAACTTGAAGTCCTTGCCTTTTGGCCTCCTGAATAAGGAATAACAAAGAAGCCTGTTTATCTCAGTGGGCCAGGTTTTTCTTACCAATCTTTGGGTTGCCTTCTGGCTTCTAACAGAAACTCCTGGATTATTTACTGCCTTTACTCTCTGGGCCCTGGGGGTTCTGTTTAGAAAGAGGGAAGGATAAGACATTATATCTTTGGGTGGTCTCAGCTCTTTATCCTCTTTTTTTTTTTCCCTCACTGTGTGACTATGTCCTTAGCTTACTTAAATTCTCAAATGAGGCAGCACCCTTGAGTTTTGTTTGAGTCCACACAGAAGAAGGTGACCAGAATGGGAGGCAGCCCAGTGTAGGATAAGGAGCACTGGGTGTGGCAGAAAACCAGGTTCTGAATCTGGGCTTTTTTACTTGCTACTGATATATCCTTTGGCCAAATCACTCCAGCTTTCTGGACCTTAATTGTCTCATCAATAAAGAAAGGGGTTTGCTCTATATGACCTAATTGTTAAGGTCCTTTCCAGCTCTTTGCCTTAAGAAACCCTGTCCTAGGAAGATCTTTTGAAAGAAGTAGGTATTTAGTTTGGAGAAAGAAAAAAAGATTTGGGTGATGGTGGGAGTTCAAATATCTGAAAGACTATTATCTAGAAGAGAGAATATTTACGTAATCAAATAATTTCTTTTTATTTATATGTTTTTGTTTTAAATACATTTTAAACTTTTATTATTCTGAATGTGACAAATTCCAGAACATATGAACATTTCCAGCTACAAAGATCAGAAAAAGAAAATTTTATATGAAAATACTAATCTCCATTATGTACAGCTTATTAAAAAAAGCCTCTGACACATTCATTATATTGAGTCCAAACTTGTCCTGTTTATCTGTTTCCCCCTGAATTTCCTTCTGTTTATTCAGTTAGATGGTGCAGTGGACCTATCCCTAGGACTGGTGTCAGAAAGAACTGAGTTCAAATCTGCCCTTAGGTACTTACTAGCTGTGTGACCCTGGACAAGTCACTTAACCTTTGTTTGCTTAATTCCTCAATTTTAAGTGAGAGTAATTATTAGCATCTTCTTCCCAAGGTTGTTGTAAAGGTCAAATAAGGTGATGGTTGAAAAGTGCTTAACACAGTGCTGGGCCCACTTAAATTTCATCTTTGTTGTCCCATACACTTTAAAAAATACTGCATTGATGATTTTACTTTTTATATCACTATAATCACTCCTACCCCCACCACCTCCTAATATTCCCCTCCATCAAAAATAATCCCACATTTCTCTTTGTAGTCAGTAAGTATAGTTAAACAAAACAAACACACACACAGGCCATATCCAAACATACATCTCATTCCTCCCCTCTAGTCCATCGCCTCTCTATCAAGGCAGGAGGGGGGCACATGTGTCCTCATTGGTCCTCTGGATTAGTGGCTGATCATTACATTGATCAGAAAACATCCTTAAGACTTTCAAAGTTTCAACAAATGAAATTCTATTTGACTCCAGGCAGAAGCAGGATTAATAGGTAGATGTTAGGGGGAGGCAGATTTTGGCTCTTAAAGAATTTCCCAAACAATTAGAGCTGTCCAAAAACAGAATGAGTTATCTTATGGGGTATTAAGTTTCCTGTCACTGGAGGTGTTCAGGTAGAGACTGGGTGTCCCTCTTGCTGGGGATGCTATAAAGCCAGTTCTTTTGTTGGGTGGAGAGTTTGAATAGGGGGAACCCTTGTGTTCCTTTCTACCTTTAAGATTCTGAGACTGTAGACTGGAGAAAGCAATCCCTTGTTTCACCCCTATTCTCATGGCAGAAGATGAGCAGAATGATACCAGTCCAAGACATTTAGGCCTATGGGGCTTTAAGAAGCCCAAGACATAGACAGCCTGATCTGGAATATAACAGGTTCTAGTCTGAGACCTCACTGAGGTTGTTAAGAGGAGTACCAACAGCAAGAGTTATGGGTTCTAAAGGCCCAATGATGTACATTTCAGTGTTTGCTGGAATTAAATATATATAATTAATTATAAGTATATGTACAATAGATGTGCAAAATGCACACATATATGCATAGCTAAATGTATATGTACTGCCTACACATATATATTTCCTATATACACATACCTACATGTATATGTGTATACATGTAGGTATGTGTATTTGTATATGTAAAATGCATGTGTGTATACATAAAATGTACATGTATGTGTGTGCATATATATAATGTGTTTGTGTATGTATATAGATGTGTGTATGTGTATATATATATACATATATGAAATTTCCTGGTGAAAAGGTTGTGTCGCAATATCTGTCTTATTAGGAGGAGGCTTTGTAAAGGAGAGAGAAGGCCTGGGGAGGTGGTGCAGGAAGGGCATCATTTAAACCTCAATTCAGTAAGCAAGCAGAATAGCAGTCAGTTGGTGGTCAAGCTTAAGAGTTCACTGGTGTTAGTAAATCCAAAGGGCTCAGCAGGAGTCATGAAGCTGAGGCCAAAACAGTGGTCAAGCTTGGGGGGAAGGAGGAAGTGGAAGAGTATCAGCGTGACGTTAGTTACACTATTGGAGAAAATAGGACGACACGTTGGTTAAAAGCTCTCTCATCAGGTGCTGCCATTGGAGATGGAGTTCTTTCATGGTGTTGGCATGCTAAGCATGCCCCATTCTTTCTCAGCTGTGCTGGTACCACTATGAGCCTAAACATTATGCCATTAAAGGAATCATACTGAGTTTTCTATTGGAACCATCCCACAGAATAATAAAGGCCGAGTCAGGCTTGAAGGAATGAATATGTCAGAAGTAAAGCTCCTGTTTCACATGTTTTAATGACTGGGATGATTTTTCTCATTATTTCAACCCTGCACACCTCATTCTTTCCTAGTTTCACCTGTTCAAAGAGCCCATATAATAATTTGATATAGAGGAAAGACCCTGGGTCTGGGGCCTGGACTCAGTTTTCCATTTACTAACAATATGTTATTGGAAAAGTCATAATCTTCTTGTGTGTCAGTTTCCTTATCTGCAAAATGGGAATGATGAAATGTGTACCACCTGCCTCATAAGTTTATTGTAAGGAAAGCACTTTGTAAACAAACCATAGAGAGCTAAATAAATGTGACTTATTATCATCACTTATTAGGGATATTATAGTGGAGATTCCTATTTAGATATGGGTTGAATTAGAATAACCATCAAAGATGCCTCCATCTCTGAGGTTTTATGATTCCTGAAAACTGACTCAGTGAAATTCTTTTGGTGGAATACTTTCTAAGTGTCTTTTTCTGGATCAGGGTCTTTTTACTTTTTTTGTGTCATGGACACCTTTGTCAGTCTAGTAAGGTCTATGGACCCTTTCTCAGAATAATGTTTTTAAATGTAATAAAATGAAATAGAGCATTACAAAGAAACCAAATTCTATCAAAATTCAGTAATCAAAATATTAACAAAATAAGTTCACAGGTCCCAGGTTAAGAACTCTTGATCTAGGTGCTAGAGAAAATGTTGTTTTATTAATAATTTTTTAAAAAAAATTTTGGGAATTTCCTCTACCAATGAAGACTGACATTGACACCAATGAAGATTCCTCTACCAATGAAGATTTATCAGCTCTGAAAATCTGTACTCGTAGACAGTTTTTTTTTTTAAATAATGCTTGAAATTTATATCTTCTACTGAAATCCTACTCTGATGCTCCATCAAGGGATGGAGATATCCTTGAGTTTGCAAAGACTAAGTCATTGGAGCACAGGCTATGGTAGGTCTCACCAAGCTGGAGAGGCTTTGCAGATGGTCACTGTGAAATGTAATCTGAGTCCTTATCACCAAGTTGACCTTAGAGTGATGTGTTTTTCTGCAACATCAATTCTCAAAGACCTATTACCAACCTGCAGATAGGTTTCTGTCTGTACTGGTGATATTGATGAAATTCTAGCTGTACCATTTGTATGTTGCATATTTGTGCGTTGTTTTTATACACATTAGCACATGTAAGGAACCTTAGAGCTGGCAGGAGTTTGAGGATATCGACTTCAACTTGGGTTGAACAGAAATTTCCTTTATAACGTTCCTGACAAATGCCATTGATAGGGAAATCTCTCTCTTGAGGCGGCTTTAACTGTTAGGAAATTCTTCCTTATGTGAAACTGAAATCAGGTTTTCTATAAATTCTAATACTCTCAGTAGCCTGGTGAGGTTACAGGTTTAGAATGCAGGTTCAGGCTAAGAAGCAGTAGGACTGGGGTTTGGAGCCATGGCATCCTGATTCTAAGTCTGTAATTCTTTTCCATTACACCCCATTTCCTCTCAGTAGGGAATGGTTCTCCTTTCAACATCATGCCTTCAAAGTCCCTTTGAAATAATGTGCTGTAGTTCTGGCCCCAGGCTTGCCAGGAAGCACAGGTGTGCCTTTGAAGTATCTTTTTCATCTAGTCTCTGTGTACCATTCAAGTGCATGCTCTTAATATCTTGGCCTGAACTAATGGAAGAGCCTCCTGACTGTCCTTCCTGTTTCCAGTCTTTTCCCTCTTTAATTTGTCCCACGCCTATATGCCTGAGCTACATCTCTGCTCATGTGATAGATTTCCTTGCTCAAAAACTGTCAGTTGGCTCCCTATCGTAAAGTGAATTAAGTACAAACTCTTTAGCTTGCCATTCAAGCCCTTCTGCAGCGTGGCGTCGTGGAGGCCAGATTTATGGTTCTATTTCTCATCTATATTCTCATTTCTTCTCTTTATGTTCTAACCAAGCTGAACCATTAATGATTGACTAATCTTGCTCTGCCTCTTTTTGCCTCTGCATTCATCCCATCCGTTCTCCATTCCTTTCTCTTCTGTTCTTGATGAAAGCTTTTCCTTCTTCCATGAAATAATCCCTCCTTTCCTGATTTTATCTTACCTCTCTGCTTGGCCTCCCCAGTACATTCCTCATTTTAACTTCTTTAACTATTCTATTCACTGTCTCATTTCCTCAACTAGATTGTAAGCCCTTGAGGTTGGGTATGGTTTGTGTCCATCCTTATAGTCACTGTACCATAAATAGCAGCTGGTGTTTAAGAAATGCTTGTCAGATTGAACTGACTTGGAGTGGATTAAACAGAATTCCCTTGATTCCCAGGCTCTGGTCTTGAAAGGCATCAGATTCGTCCCTTGCAGTTAGCTGTGGCCCAGAAGCTCCTCTCCCATGTGTGTTCCATTGCTGACTCCAGCACTCAGAATCTGGATTTAGGCTCCTTTGAAAAAGTGGATTTTCTGATCTGTGTACCACCCTCGGAAGTGACTTATCAACAGACCTTATTTCATCTCTGGCATTCAGGTATATGGGACCTTCAAGGTTGGGACTTGTTGGAGATGTTGAATTTTTCTACTCCATTTTATCTTATCAGACTACATAAGAATCCAGTCTCAAGATATTTTATTATGACCTTGAGATTTTTTTTTAATATGAGAGTCTTTAGGAATGTTTGCATTGGCTATCTGACCCAGGCAAAACTACTACAATTCACTGGTTATCAGCTCTCCATTTTATTTTATCCTCTCTTAGAACTGGAAACGGTTTTTAAAAATTTTATTCAGCCATTAGGAAACACTTTGTAGCTTACAGTTTCTTTTGGCTATTGGCAGGATAAATAAACATGATCTTTGGATTTAGAGTTAGAGGAAATTTGAGATCTTGTCTAGCAGTTCTCAAACTATTTGGCTTCAGGATCCTTCTAGGCTCTTAAAAAATTTTGAGGACTGTACCCCTCCCCCCCAAGAACTTTGGTTTATGTGGGTTATATCCATAGACATTTACCATCTTAGTGTGAATGATAAAAATAGTTTTGACCTCATGGGCCCCCTGAAAGAGTTTTGGGGACCCCTAACACCATTTGAGAACCACTGATCTAGTCCAACCCCAATATTTTGCTGTTGAGAAACCTAAGGTCTAGAATGATGATTGGATTTAACCAAGGTCATACAGGTAGTACTAAGTGACAGAGCTGAGATTCAAAACAGATCTCCAGATTACAGATTTCCTTTTGGACTGCCTAATGCAGTTTTATTTTCTTCTAGGAGTTTTGCTAGAACTTGGCTTGGAAAAGGAACATGTGACTAAGCAGAGAGCAGAGCAGTATGTAGTGAAGCTGGATGCAGAGGCCCAGACCAAATTTAAGGTTTTTCTGCAGAACTCTCTTCAAAACCCTCATACACTGTTTGTCCTAATCCATGACCATGCACACTGGGATCTGGTGAGGTAAGATGGGTTAGTTTTCTAGTAGGGTTGAAATTTTCTTTCTTGGAAACCATATGTGGGACTCATACTTAAAGCAATGGGTGTAGTTGCTAAAATAGATGATCATGGTTTTAATGATTATTATTAATTCATATTTATACAGCACTTTGCAATCTGTAAGGTACTTTTCTTCCAGTAACCCTGTGAAATAATGTAGGTATGATCGATCATTCCCATTTTAAAGAGGGGACAACTGAGACTCATAGAGGTGACTTTCCAAAGATTAGAGCTTGGGTTTGAACCCAGGTGCCTTTGAATAAGTCCTACATTCTTTACTATACCATGCTTAGGTTTGCAATTCATAAGTGAGAGAAGCAGTAAGGTGTGGTCATATCAATATTGGCCTAGGAAAGTTTTGTTACTTCCTAGCTGTGTGAATTGGGCAAATAACTTAACCTCTCTGTGCATCAGTTTCTTCATCTGCAAAATGGGAGTTTTACTACATAGCTTGCTTACCTCTTAATTTTTTTTGTGAGGCTAAAATGGTGGAGTGGATGTCAGAACACAACGAAAATGATAATGCGCTAAACAAATGACAGGTATATTTTGTAGGGAAAAGTAGAATTGATGTGCCTATGACGTAGCTATAACTCATTTATGTAACACCTTAAGGTTTGCAAAGCACTTTTTTTTTGCAGCTATCTGTCATAATTTACTATGATAGCTGTAACAAAACAGGCAAGTAAAGTAAAAACATTTTTGTTTAGTAGGAATGCTAAGATCATTGCTTTAAAAAGTTGAACTGAATTGATTAAATTAAATTAAACAAAACTAGTGGTCTTGTTAGGTATTAGTTACATATTATTATACTACTATTTAGGAATTGTTATTTCTAACTAAGTGCTCAACTCCCAACAATGCCTATTTTGGGATAGTATAGAGATTTTATAGATGAGGAACAGAAGCCCCTGGGGGTTTAATTGACTTGCACATGGTCCCCCAGCTAGTAAATAACAGCTGTGGCTAGAAGACAGGAATCTTGACTTGTGGTCCACAACTCTCCACTAGAGGATGCTGTAGCATCTCAAAAGATAGTGGTTACTTTTTTTTTTTAACCCCTCTATATAAATCTGGGTTTTCATTAGTGTAAGTATTCCACCCACTCCTCAGTTGTAGGATAAAAATAGTTATTGGACCTATGATTTCTTTGGCATGGGGAACTCCCAGGTCAAGAAACTCTATCAATGCAGACTAAAGCTTTCTCTGTAATATATTGTCTTAAGCAGTTGCTGAGAAGTCAACTGACTTACTTAGGGTCATTGAGAGTATATGCCAGAGGCAAGATGTTTAACCAGCTCTTCTTGGCTTTGCGCCCGGCTCTCCATGTACCACATCATGCTACACCCATTTGTCATATTCCCTAGAAACAAACCAAAACATCTGTTGGGCAGTGCTCTGGCAATAAGCCTTTCTGTATTCAGATAGAGCACTTTCTTTGATGGGTGAGAATGGAATCTCTGGGCTCTTACTTGGAACATTCTAACTTTCCAAGACCTGCCAAAGTGCACACTCTACCTCGTGTAGCTTTTGGAATCTAGTGTTGCTTTTGTGCTGCCTCCAGAGGTCAGAGGAGTGCTTTGATGCGGCATCTGTTTTTCTAGTAAGAGGTCAAGTTGAAGATTTCCTGTTGGATTTCCTTCTGTCTGTGTTATGTTTGATTTGATGCATGTCTCAAGTGCTTGGGGCCTGAACACGGAACAGTGAGCTTGTGGCTGTGATTTTGAATTGTGACCTTGAGCAGTTCATTTAAGATGTATGGTTCTTGGTTCTTAGTTTGTTTATTTGTGAAATTGACCCTCTTCAAAGGGCATAATATAAAATCTGTGACATTGAACTTGATGATACATTCTTTAATCATTTTGCTTTATGAAAATTTTTTTTCCAAACCCATGGTATGTGAAGGATACTCTCAATCTCTCACTAAAAATTTTTTAAAAAATCACCTACTGTAGATATTAGTTTTGAAAAAAAAAAGGCCTACTCATCATGATCACAAAATGCCATTCTGATGGGGGAATAAATAGTTTATGACCTCATGGAATTCTCAGTCTGAAAGGAAACTTTCTTTGATGGATGACAGTCTAGTCTCCAGGCTCATACCAGGGGAAAAAAAAACTGTTGCCTTTGAACTTCTAATCTAATGGGAGAGACAGAGTCCTTGCCTTTAGGGAGTTTCTAGTTTAATAGTGTCATAGAAAGAGCGTTGAACTTGGAATCAATAGAGACCTGGGTTCTAGTCCTTCTTCTTACATTAGATATGTGACCATGGAGTAGTTGTCGCCTACATGCTAGGTATTCGGGATTTTGGTTTCCTCATCTGTAAATTGGGAATATTGTCTGGAGTACCTCTTTTGTAGAATATGAGAATCAAATGAGATAATTAATCTAAAGTGTTTTATAAAACCTTAAAACAGCATATAAATATCATCTTTTAACTACAGAGAGACAGTCCTTACAAAGTTCACAGTTTAGTTGAGAAGAACGTTAACACAAACAGACAAGATTAGGTGTTTTTTGCATTCTATATAATCCATAGATAGCAGCTAAGTGGTGCAGTGCCAGGACTGGAGTCAGGAAGACCTGAGTTCAAATCCAGTCCCAGATACTTGCTAGCTGTGTGACCCTGGGTAAGTCACTTAATTCTGTATGCCTTAGTTTCCTCATGTGTAAAATGAGCTGGAGAAGGAACTGGCAAATCACTCCAGTAACTGTCAAGAATACCCTAGATGGAGTCACGAAGAGACATGACTGAAGCAACTGAATGACAACAACTACCACCTCCACAAATCCATGGATAAATGTATTTATTAGTGGTTCAGTGGCTATCAGTTTGAAATGTCTCTGTTTTTTTCCCCCTCCTGTCTAAGGCAAGCCTCTCCATACTCGTTCACAGAATTTCTTTCTGGTTTGCCTTTAAATGGTAAGTTATAGAGTTATCAGGTTTTTAATTTCATACCTGTAGGACACCTATACCTTTACAAATTTGTAGAGTTACATACAAAGTTTTTAAAACAGTTCCTGCCTTCTAAAAGGTCACAATCTATCCTCTAAACATAATCAACTCAGTTTTTCATACTGATGGAGTAGTAGTAGAGTGGTAGAGTCCAAAAATTTATTTTATATCAGACATAAAAATGTTGTATAATTAATTATGGTTTTGGAACATATTTACCTTCCTAATTAAATTTTGCTTGGATGGACTTATTCAGATTACTCTGTATTCCCTTTACACACATTCATACAGATCAGAAACATATTATGGGATCAGGGAGAATTTAGCATGAGATTATACTTTCATTATAGGTAATATTTTAATGTTGATCTTACCTTTTAGGGAAATGTGAGATTAGCTGAACAGTAGACTGAGTCAATGGCACATAATAGGTGCTCAATAAATGTTTATTTTATTGTGAGTATTTGTTGGAAATACTTACAAATAGTTGTAAATTTGTAAAATATTTATTTTATTTATCATGACTGAGTGAGTCAAGATTTTTTCCTAGGCCCTTAGCCTCTCAGATGTTTAAGGATCATCTCTAGTTCTGTCAGCATTCCATCACTTCTCATTCCTGGAACCAGAGGGTCATAAAGTCCAATTCATAAACCTTGGAACTGTCAGGGCCCTTTTAGAGATACCCTCTTTCCCATCCCAGCCTCTTTTGTCGGGACAAATGAATGGAGCTTCCTTTTGGTTCACTGTGACTGAGGAACCATTCCACATTGACCCTTTTTGGTAAACCATCTCAGCATTTTATTCCTTGATGGGCAGAAGTCCATTCACATGTGTAACCCAAGTCCCTTCTTTTTTAGGCCCCTTTGTCATGTTATATTCTCAGAGAATATGGAGAACAACTACTCAGTATCTTATTCAATCAAACTTGTCAAAGGCTTTCTAATCAGTAGAGTGAGCCCATAGTAGAATGGGCTGCCTTGGGAGGTATAAATGGATTTCTTCTCAGTGGAAATCTTAAAGGAGAGCATGGACATCCCCTTTTAGGATATTGTAGAAATTATGCTAGTGCAGGTGTCTTTAACATTTTTTTTAAAATCAAGAAGCTCTTTGACAGTCTAGTAAGGCCTATGGACCCCTTTGCAGAATAATGTTTATTGCCTACATTCATAATGGAAGGAAAGGCTAAATTTCAGTTAGAGGTTAATGAAAATAAAAATGTCATTTTTCTCTCATCCAAATTCACAGACTCCCTGAAATCCATCCATGGACCCTAGGTCGTTAGCCCTCAGGCTAGATGATCTCTGAGGTTCCTTCCAACTCTGATTCTGTGGCTTCATTTGAAAGGGACTAAGAGGTAGTAAAGTATAATCAATAGTGTTAGACTTGTTGACGTTGAGATGGGTTCAAATCCTGAGTTTGACTTTTATTAGCTGTATGACTATGAGCAAGTCACTTAATCTGACTGAGCTTCCAATTCCCAATATGTACAGTGGGCATGATAATACTTGTGTTATCTGTTTGCTATGGGGCTCAAAATGAGCTTTTATATATAAATATGTGTATATATATACATATACACATAAACACATATACATATAAACATCATACATACATACATATACAAATGTATATGTATATATGTGACTTACACATATCACAGATGTGTGCTTTACAGTTTTTAAAATGCTGTTTTAAGATGACCTGTTGTGTGTGTGTGTGTGTATGTGTGTGTGTGTGTGTGTGTGTGCGCGTGTGTGTGTGCCTTAAAGGTAATCTGGTTCATTTCTTACCTCAAATAGGAATTTTGTTTTTAGCTTCTCTAATTAGTGGTCATCTAACCTTTGTTTGAATGCCTTTACTCACAGGGTACACAAACAACCAATATTTTTTAAGTGCCTGAGGAAGCTGGGGGAGGTAGCAGAGTAATGAACTTGGAAGCAGGAAGACTTGAGTTCTAATCTTGCTTTAGGTACTTATTACCTGTGTGACCTGGGCAAGTCAGCACCCTTCTCCAGGCCAAGGCTGCAAGGGGCAATCCCAGTAGTCAGCACTTAGCACAGAATACGTCTCAACAAATACCTGTTAACTGATTGTCTGATACTGTACTTTTACTAAGGAATAATTTAAAAGAAAGGGAGGAGAAGGAAGAGGAAGGGGGAAAAGCGGGAAAGAAAAAGGGAGAGAGACAAATATACAGAGAGAAATGCAGAGACAGAGAGAAGAGAAACAATGAACTTAAAATATGTTGCTATTTCTCAAAAACTAATCCTTGAGAAAATTGAGACAATTTTTGTTATTCATTTTTCATCTACCTAGCTCCCTTTACTTCGGGGTAGAAGTAGATCATTTACTAATCTATACTGGGCCCTTCTTTACTCTCTGTACTTTGCCTCCATGTGTCAGCTGCCTTCTCTCTCCTTCCCAACCCACCCCAGCCCATGTCTCCTATAGATCAATATGGCTACCCCCACTTTACAGTGACTGACTAGTCATTTACAGAGATAACTCAACTCAGTCAAAATGACCTTAGATGCAGATGTAGCTAGCTTTTGACTTATTTGATGAAAGGAGCACAATTTTGGGGCAGAGAGAGCCTCTTAGATGATTGGCTAGGGATCAGTGTTTTAATTTTGCCTCAGTTTAGGGCAAGTACTTTTACTTTGTCATTGAGTTTGCTACTCATAGCTTTTTTGGGACTTTTTAGAGAAGACATTGAGAAAGTAAGTGAGTGGGATTTGAGACTAATGGGGAAAATCTCACTGTATTTTTTGAGGGACCAAGTACCTTGACATTTTTGTTGGGTAATATTAAAAATATCCCTGTTGTTTCTTCCTTTCTACTTTTTCCTCTTCTTTCCCAATACCAGCAGTGCTGTTCATAACCTGTATCCTCAAACTGAGCCATCAGTAGGACTTGTTGATCGACTTCTCAACTGCAGAGAGGTGAAAGAGGCGCCCAACATTGTGACCCTCCATGTGACCTCCTTCCCATATGCTTTACAGACTCAGCATACCCTGATCAGTCCTTACAATGAGATCCATTGGCCTGCTTCCTACAGTAATGTAAGAAACACATTTCTGGGGTAATTTTATGATTCTTAGAGTATTTATACTGGAGCCTGGAGAAATTATATAGTAGAGCATCAAATAACCAAAACACTTCAGGAATGCCATGGTGATGGTAGTAGTGATTAATTGGATTTCCTAAATCTCATGGAATATTCATTTATTAATTCATTCATTTAACCAGTGTTTATTGGGTAGAGTTATAGCATAGTATCCAGAACACTGACTTTGGATTCAGAAGACCTGGGTTCACATCTCCATTCTCTTACTTACTGATTCTGAGATGTTAAGGAAATAACTTGGGGCTTAATTTTCCTTATATATAAAAGGAAGGGATTGGCCTCAGTACCTAGAGTCCTTTCCAATTCTAAAAATTTTTGATATTGCTCTGTGCAAAGCAGTATATTAGGTGCAAAGGGGCATACATGGTCTCTGGCCTCAGGGAACTTATAGTCCAATAGAACTTACCTCCTACCTTGTCTTTTTCCACTTTTTGAAAACTTTCCTAAAATATTTCTTTTTTTTATCATGGTAGGTTGAATCTAGTAGAGTTGATTAATTGAACATCTGATAATCTAATGTCTTGCCATGGACTTAGGTCATCTTGATATAAACTTTAGTTCTTAGTGTACAGGTATGAATATAGAAGGTGTAGGAGGTCACAAAAACAAGAATATGATAACTCACATTTCTATGTCATTTTATAGTTTGCAAAGTGCTTTGCATCCATTGCCTTATTTGAGAATCACAATAGATCTGTTATTACCCTGTAATTTTACAGATGAAGCATTAAGTATCAGAAAAGTTAAATTACGTGCTCAGCATTTACACGGCTAGTTAGTACATGTTGAATGGGGATTCAAACTCAAGCTTCTTGAATCCAAGGCCAGGGTTGGTTGTATCACTGTATCATGAATGACGTGGTTGTTCATCTTAGAAAACATTTTGAAGCCTTGATGTCAGCCTGTTTACTCATTATCATCTGCATTCTTTTTCATTAAAACAGAATACAGAAATATTTCTGATAACTTAAGAGCTCTGATTAAGTTTGGAAATTAGGTTTTTACTGTACATTGCATGTATTTTGGTAAAGTTGTAAATATGGGTTATTTTTAGGACTGATGTTAAAATAAATAAATTGTTTAGGACATGTTAGCAGTTCTATAGAGAAATTTCTTCATCATAAACTTAGATTTCTCTTTAAAATTAATTTTCTTTTCTCATTTAGTAAGTTTTTATTTTCTCTTCCCCCTCCTTTCTAACCCATTGGGGAAAAAAAGAAAAAAATCTTTTGTAACGAACCTGTAACAAATTCCTACATTGACCATGTGTAAAAATATATGTATCTTGAGTCCATTACATTTCTGCATCATTAGACCACTAGAATTGTAACGAACTTAGATTTCAATAGCAGCTTAAAGCAATGTAGTTGATTGACATATTTCTAAAACCAGCTTAAATCTGTCTTAATTAAAATGAATGGTTGTGGAAAGGCCTTTCTTAAAATAAATTGCATGATAAAAATAAATATATAGTTTTCATGCAGGAGTCTGGTGATCCTGATGGGTACAAAAGAATAAGAATAACCTTAATTTTGTTGCCACTCAGTGTGGGTAGTCTCAGGAAAATGGTGTGAGAACATTGCCCTATAACTTCAGGTATAGAAGTGCTATTTGCTAATTGACTTATCATCATAAAATCTTGATCTTTTCTCCCTTACCCAATTGTGGAATTAGTGATTCTCATGTGGTTGACTTATCTTTTTCTCTCTCCTGCCACAGCACTGCTATAAAATCCTCTTACTTTCTCCTTATTATTCCTCTTAAACTCTGCATTTTCTGTCCTTCATGCCACCCTGACTCTCCGTACGATAGCCATGCTAATCATGATATGATTGTATTATACCAAAGTGGCCCTATACTCCGTTCGAAATTCTCCTTGCTTTTATTGCAGAAAGGAGGCAGTGAAAATGTGTATTGGGAACTCTGTAGCTGGTATTTATTGGGCAAACATCCAAACTCATTAATAATTTCTTGTCAAAAGGTAGTCCAGTCAAGATCCATTGTTTCCTTGAGTGATGTGTCTCAGTTACTAATGATTTGGTTTGTTTCAGGGAATGGACTTATATCAGGAAAACAAAAAATACTTTGGATTCTCAGAATTTGTTGAATCTACTCTTTCTGGACACAGCCTCCCTTTGCTCCGATATGATAGCTCTTTTGAAGCAATGGTCATGGCATTAGGAAAAAGGTACTTTAAAAAAAATCTTGGATGGTGATTGAAAATTATATAAATGATATTAGGAGCTATTTCCAACAATTACAGCTATATAATAAATAGACTGGGCTGTCTCCATCACTGGAAGTATGCAAGCTGATATTAGGCAAACACTTTTAAAATATTATAAAGAATATTCATTCTTTGGGATGGGATTTTGATTAAAAGACTTTTAAGGTATGAAGCAGCATGCTATAATGGAAGGAACACTGGATTTTGACTTTAGAAGACTTGATTTGGAATCTAGTCTTTCTTACATAGTACCTGTTTGACTGTGGTAGTCACTTAATCTCTGGACCTCATTTTTGATAACAATGACTCATATTTTTGATACCAATGACTCAGACATGCACAAGCACTATATGTGCAGTGTGGGCTAGGTGTTGGAGATAAACAAACAAAACATGTAACAGTTATGGAGTGAAAGGACTTTACATTCTACTCAGGGGATATAATAGGTAAACAAGTCTTATTTTGGTTCAAAGCTATGATTTTATTGGCATCCTAGAATAGAAATTCCCTTCATTGATGTAACTTAGCAACTCGTAAGGAACTAATAGTCTTAGAGAGTAGCTTGGGTACTGGGATGTTGAGTGATTTACCCATGTTCACACAGTTAGTATGTGTCAGAGGCATGACTTGTATTCAGAACTTTCTGACTTCACAGCTGGCCCTCTATTCACTAAGTAAAATTGCTTCTCAAGTACACAAGTAATTAAATACAAAGCAAAAGTAATAAACCACAATTTCAAAGGCATAAGAGTTCTAACAACTGGGAGACGGAAGGGATCAAGAAAGTGGCATGTGTGAGTTGGCACCTAAGTTGTGCTTTGAAGGAAGCTAAGAATTTGAGAATGTGGAGATGGATAGGAAGTAGTACATTCCAGATGTCAAGGTCTACTGATGCAAAGGCATGGAGCTGAGGTATTCGATGACATGTGTAGGGAAAAATTAGCTGGCGAGTTTGACTGGAATGGAGAGCATTTGAAGAGGAATAATATGAAATAATTTTAGAAAGGTAAGTGGGAGCTTTACTCTGGAGGGCTTTAAATACCAGGCTCCTAAAGGCAATAAAGGGATAGAAGATTTTTTGAGTCAGGAGATAATTTGATTAAATTTATGTTACAGATTGGATTTAAACAAGATGTTCTTAAAAGTCCTTTCAGTTTCTAAATCTTATGCTCCTATGTCCCTTCCAACTCTAAAAGTCTGTGATAAAATATAAAAAGGAAAAGCTAAAATTTGGGTAGGTTATTAATTAATTTCTTGGAACATTCCATTCAGTTGTTTTATTGTATGGATATTAAAGGCTTTTTCTGCTTATGTGTTATGATATGTTTGACATTAAAGGCTCAAAACTTTGTCACTTGAACATTCAATCTTTATATGACACTCAGAATTTTTTTATTATTTAAAAATTATGTATTTGACACACATTAATAAACTAAGATATTTTCTTATACAAAGAATAAAAGAGGATTGCATCCATGAATCTATTATGCATAGACTTTTAAGCATATATATACCTATGTATAAATATTTATATGTATGACATAACATCAAATTTGTGATATTTCTCTGCTTGTCTTTATCTTCTTTTAATTTTTCTTCTGCTCCCTTCTTTGTACTTTTGCTTTTAATATTTTATTGGCACTTTTTTTCTTTCTGACTTTTTTGGTGTCACTATCATTAACCTCCACTTCCCCACCTTTTCCTTATTCTAATAACTCCTCTCCCCTCAAAAAAACCTCATCTTTGTAACAATTAAGTATAGTCAAGCAATGTAAATTACACATTGGTCATGTCTGAAAACTCAGGTCCCATTCTTCATGGACTTCATCCATCACCTCTTGGCCAAGAGGCAGAAAGTATGATTCACCTTGAGTTTTTTGGAGTGGTATTGGCATTGCATTTTTCATAGTTCTTAAGTCTTTCATAGTTGTTTTCCTTTATAATGAATAAACATTTATTTAAGATCTACTATTTGTAAAGACTTGTGCTTAGGACTTTGTGAGACGAGAAGATGAATAATGCCTAGTCAGTGACTGGATTGCTTATTCGTGTGTATTTGATCTTTTGAGCAAAGATACCTGCCATGTCCTTGTTATTGTTAAATTACAGGCATGGGTCTTCAAGTGCTGGTGATGAAAGGCTAATTAATAGAGTTGAAGGGGGGAAAAAAGCTTGTTTAGGAAAATGAGAACAAAGTTCATGTCATCAGATCTGGTGCAGAAGTAAACCAGAGTTCGCAGTAAAAGCCAAGAACCAAGTGCAGGCACAAGGGTAGATTCAGGAATTGTAGCAATAGTATAAAACCAAGAGTCATCAGAGAATTGGGGAGAACACTGAAAGGGAGAAGTGGGTCTTGATGAAACATAACTTCTTCTCAAGATGTCATTCTTTCATTCTTTTGGTATCTGAACCATGGAGCATCTTCTTTGCTCCAAGGGGCTGCTTTTTCTGTAGTCCAAGATGGTCATAAATAAATAAACAGTAATATCTGTCATTGACATAATGCTTTATAGTTTATAAAGCACTTGATCGCTTCTGATCCTCACAACAAGTTTGTGAGATAGTCAGGGCTATCATAAACATACTGATGGCCATCTGTGAGTTTATGGTTGTATTGGCAGACTGCTTTCATTCTGCTTTGCTTCTCTCTTTAATAAACATGGAGGTAGGAAAGGGAGGTTTTCTTCCCCTTTTCTCCCCATGACTTTAATTTGTATATTTCACAGTCAGAAGGGAAGAACCTTTTACAAAGAATTGGTCAACAAAGGTTTATTAAGCAGCAATTGTTCATAGAGCTCTGTGCCCACTGCTGGAGGAGAATACAAAGTTAAGACATAGTCCTTGTCCTCATGGAGTTTATAGTCTAGTTGGTGTGCCTTAGAATAAGATGAGATCACCTGGCCCAACCCTTCCATCTTTTCATTTTATATAAGAAGAAACATACCTAGAAAGGTGAATGAAGTGTCTCGACTGAGGTCACAGCAACTTGACCAAATTATTCAATAAACTTTTTAGTTAACAATGCATCTATTCAGCACAAAGTCTGATGCTGTATATTGGAGAGACCAAAATATTCGACAGGTGCATAAATATTTGTGATATGGGGGGGGTAGAGTGATGGAGAGGTTCAGGCAATGTAGCAGAGCTGCGAGCAGGACCTGATTTTCCCAGTCACATGTTTTTGTCATGATACCTCACTGTCTTCTCAGGAGACTTTGGCCTGGGAAGCGCCCTTTGAAATAGCGATAGCATTTTCAAACAGAGAAAGAAGTAAAAGTAGGATGCAGTATGGTCTCCAGTTGACTGTTGTTACTCACAGCCTTGTTAGATTGCTAGGTTTGCTGGTGTTCCAGAAATAGATACCAAAGCACAACTTAGGTCCAGGACTATTGGACTATGAACCATAGATATGATTCTACAAGAGAAAACTGAGCTGAAATTTGCAACAGCATTTTAACTTTAGGACTGTCTGTCATTAGATCCAATGCAGATTCCTGGAATCAGAAGGGATCTCTTACACTGTATCATCCAACCCTCACCTAGAGGACAATCCCCTTGTAAAGAACATGATGGGGATAGATGCCATGAAGTGGGAAAACTGCTGTTAGATAGTGGTCAGGCGATATTATTATTATTATTGTTGTTGTTGCTTGCACAAAGTACACAGTATAATTCACTGGTGCTTTTGTGCAGAGTAGTGTACAGGTATATCTTGCTTTAGAGAAGCCCCGTGTGGGTATATCTTGTGTATCTTTTCCCTCTATGCCCAAGGTCAGGCTACTGTGACCCTAACATAGACATGCCGAATGGCTAGGCAAGGGCTCAGAAGGATGCAGTCATCACTGGCCACCCCTTTGGTGATCTATGTGTTAATCTTCTAGCAACTTACAGGATGGTCCATGGCATAAGACTCACTAGCACAAGGCAGAACAAAGACACCTGGGAAAAGAAACCCGAGGAAATCACCTTACCGAACCTTCAAGGCTTTGCCTTAGTAAAGGCTGCCTACTCTCTCCTAAAACACACATCTCAACCACCACAGTGTAATGAGTCAGCGTAATACTAACCCAGAGACTCTGGCTCGTGCTTTTAGCTATGGCCTGTAGACAGCCTTGGAGTGGGAATGAAGCACACACCCTTGTTATAACTTTGGGCAGCCATTTTTGCCTTCTTACCCCGTAGAGAGGATTCACTCACTTTTTCAGAACTGCATTAAATGAGTTGTAGATTGTTTAATAAAATGGCTGAGGAGGGGGTGGCGTGCTGTGACCTCAGCCTCTCTGCTCCTTAGGTCACTGTATTGTCTTCCTGTCTTTAGGTTTCCTAGATTGCATAGTGCAGTGATAAGGACGTTTGTCCTTGTGCAGCATTATTCTGCGGCTATGATGGCTGTCAGTGGCCTGTCACAGATGAAGAACTACACATCTGTGGAGACCCTGGAGATCACCCAGAATCTCATCAACTCATCTAAGCAGTGTGCCTGCGGGCATGGGCTCATGGTTGTGCTCCGTATTCCTTGCATCCCCCTGGCTGCTGTGGCTTATGAGCGGCTCTATCATGTGAGGGAAAGACTAGCCCTAGAAGATCACTTTGAGATCATCTTGGGGAACCCCAATTCTGCTATCACCATTGGAAAACACTTTGTGGAACAACTAAAGGTAAGTCAATGTTAGGCTCCTTTCCCACTTTCCTTCCATGAGAAGACTTATATGGATGAAATTCTGTTAGTGTGGGTCCCTAGCACAAGTCTAGTGCCCTTCCTTTTATCTCATGTGTTCATGGCTTTCTGTGAATTTGATGAGAATTCTCTTTCTGTCTTGAACCATCTTTGGGACAGTAAGTGTGAGGTTGAGGAAACAGTATAAGATTTGTTCAGAAGACCTGGGATCATGCTGTAGCCCTGCTGTTTACTATTTGTGTGTCCTTGGACAACTAATTCACTTCTCTCTGGCCCTTAGTTTTCTTCTCTGTACAATGAAAGGCTTGGACTATATTCTATTTAAGGTCCTTAATTATACTAAATCTTATGAACCATTCTTATTTTCCTGTAATCCAGAGCTTCCTTAAGGGGAGGGCAGCTGTTCACAGAAGGATTATGCCTTCCATTTAAGAGAGGGAAGAGAGCTCAGGGTCCATCTAGTACAATCAGGCCCTGACCAAGAATGTGTTACTGTAGTATGTATTTTGTACTGACTTCTCTACATACATGTTGTTTCCTCTATTAAAATGTAAGCTATTTGAGGGCGGAAACTGTTTTTGTTTGTGTTTCTGTGTCCCCAATAGCAAGCATAGTATACTTTACTGTTGTTCAGTTGCGTCTACTTTTCATGACTGTAGACTGTACTATCCATGGAATTTTCTTGGAATATTCATACTGGAGAGATTTGCTGTTTCCTTCTCCAGTGGATTAAGGCAAACAGAGATTGAGTGACTCACCCAGGGTCACACAGCTAGTAATTGTCTGAGGCCTGATTTGAACTCAGATCTTCCTGATTCCAGGCCTAGCACTCTATCCACTGAGCCATCTAGCTGCTCACAGTGTACATAGCAGGTGCTTAATAAATGCTTATTTATTAAATAAACGAATGGATTGTCCCTCACCTCCAGATACTCATAGTCAAACCCTCTCATTCTGCAGATGAAACTGGGAAATGGGGAGGAGTTCATGAATATACTTTCATTGATGAATACTTGGGGCAGAACTTGGGGTGGAGGTTGGGGGACAAGAACTCAGATGTGTCTCCAGAATAGGGAAGGGGTACCCCTCTGACTTTCAACACAAAACCTAGGAAAGGGGGTAGTGTTTATGATGTTGGCATTGAATGTTCTCTATATACTGCTAAGCCATGTATGAGAATGCATGTTGCTCCAGAAAGCTAAGGTTATCCATGACTACAATTGTTTAGATGTACTCTGAAGTGGTATCTAAACAAAGCCCTGTGAAAAATGTGCCAAAAATAAATTTGGAGTTGGTGATCAAAGGAATTGGTGAAATTTTGAGGCAAAGGTTAAACTTGCTAATTTATTACTAATTTCTAATTACTAATTACTAATTTCAGTAATTCAAGTATCCTTGATTTTCTATATGGGGGATTCTCTCTGAACTAGTGAAAGTCATAATCTACAAGTGTTTATTGATTGATTGGTTATCTGTGTGGATGTACCTCCCTCAATATGTCTGTTCCTACCAGTGCCAGTCCTTAGTACCTTCCATGCCTTATTATTTTTGTTCATAATATTATGTTAATAATAATAATAGCTTTAGCATTTATATAATGCTTTAAGGTCTGGAAAGCACTTTATAGATGTGATCTCATTTGTTCCTTACTACAGCCCTGAGGTAGGTGGTATTGTTATCCCTGTTTACAGATGAGGCTGGCAGCATTTAAGTGAATTGCCCTGGGTCACAAGCTAGATTTTGGTAGATGATTTCATGTGCTTCTGTGGTCGAAAAGAAATCATCACTTTGTCATCAACCTATTGGCGATGAATTTCTTTGTGTTTTGCTGGCCTTGATCAGTGACTGGATCCATGCTAGAAACCTTATTGATAGGACCTGCCAGAGTGTGCTGTAATGAGGCGTTAGAGAAGGACTTGAGTAGAAGTTGATTCATCTATCTTTTTGTTTGTTTGTTTGTTTGTTTGTTTGTTTTGTTTGTTTGTTTGTTTGTTTGTTTGTTTGTTTGTTTGTTTCTTTCTTTCTTTTCTTTCTTTCTTTCTTCCTTCCTTGCTTTCCTTCCTTCTTGTATCTGTGTATATATGTAAATACACAACACACGCGCGCACACACACACACACACACACACACACACACACACACACACACACAC